CAAGCCAGCATTTTGGTCGCTTTACTAGCCGCAGCATCGGCTAAATAATGCCATAAAATAATTCATTATTTGAGGAAATAGAATTATTTCTAAGTATGTGAATCCAGGCATGCTCTTAATGCAGCAATTCAGAAATGGTGTGATTGACTTCAGTGGAATCAGGTTCAAGCCCAGTGTTTTTTATTAAAAACAGAATGAACAGACAGGAAGGTAGAGGTCCCTTCCAGTTCTTTGTTCCTAAGTAATGTACAGGCATTTTCCTGATGGGATGTAGAATGTGAATATGTGCAGTACACAACACATTTGCCACCTAATAACTTCACTTCACTATGTACCAAAAGTAGAATGGACACGTGACATAGCCATACTACAGAGTTTATCACTCAAATCCAGGGTAAGGGTAGTCCTTGAAAAATATGTAGTAACTTTGGCCCTTATCTTACAAACAAGTTACTACTTGGAGCATAATGTGTGTATTCAGTTTCATCCAGAGGCAGCCTGAGGGGTGGGCAGAGTGGGCAACTGCCCAGGGCATCATGGTCAGGGGGTGCCAAATGCACAAACACATGTAAGCAGTTCATGCTTACAGCATTGCTCTCCCCCGGCCCTATCCTGGCTAATCTCCACCCCAGGCAGGGGGAGAGGTGCCCAGCCCAGCCCACCCCCTGCCTCCAGTCACTGCTCAGGAGAAGCTAAGCTGGGCATGTGTGGGTGAGGTGATTCCTACATCTGCTTGCCCACCTTCCTGGCACACCATGCCATGCACTCAAGCACACCATGCACTCTGCTTCCCTGCTGGACTGCACCCCACACCCCTGCATCACTGCTTCTGCTTGCCACAGCAGCAGCACTAACTTGGTGGGGATGGAAGAGGTGCCAAAATACAAGTTCACCCAGGGCACCATTTTCCCTAAGGCCAGCTCTGATTTCATCCCAGGTTGATCATTTGCTCAGTAAAAATTGGCTGTACTGTCATCTAAGTGCCATACTAACAGCCACGGTGGGCAGCTGGCCTTGGAAAGCTGGTCATGTGTCTGCTTCTTATTATGGAATAAATTTACTTCAGAATAAAAGGGGTATGTTACTCGATAATAATTGTGCTGTGCACCTGCAGTCTTAGTCTTACTATTCTGGAGTTCTGAGAAAAAGATCACAGAAAATGGAATTGCTTCCACTTACCATGTTTCAGCCCCCTTTTTTCTAGCACCGAACTATATAATTTGTAGCAGATAAGACTCACCAATGGGCTAGGAGAAGTGGAGCTGAAATGTAAAAGAGGTAGATGCTGCTTGGAGTCTTGTTAAATACCTGTTATTATCCAAATATGTCTCTCAAAATGCCGGGGTGGAATACACAAGATAATAAACAAGAGATGCATTAAATTGAAAACATCCTATGCTAACTTAGGTTGAAGGGATATATATTTGCATGTATTTGAATACTTGTGTTTTCAAAGTTTGATGTTGTTTTTTAAATCAGTACAGACGTTTTTTTCCAGGGCAGATGGAGACAGGGAAAAAATGAGAAAATGGCAAGGCACAGTTGCCATTAAAGTACAAGGCACAGTACCTTCAGAATTCCTCCATACTAATAAATTCACCAATAGATTTCCATAGGGGGTGCCTATACCATAATATAAAAATAGCAAAAAGTGGGAGGTGATAGATAGGCATGAGGAGAGAAGAAATAAGTGACATCTCCAGTTCCTACCGGTGATCACAGGAATCCTGGCACCTAGAAAGACCCTGTGTATAATGGAAGTATGCAGTGTTTCAGCTGAATGAATGGACATCAGTTAGGTTGTGAAGGACTTTTATCCTTGGCTAACCTCAGTGTTTAAATGGACATGGATAATGTGTAATTAGCCCATGATGAGAACCCTTGTGACTAATGTTGAGTATCTTACGATGACTGATGGAATCAGAGTGGATTAGTATAATAGGATTCATCAGAGGAGTGCAGTGACTTTAATCCAGATACAGAAGATAGTGGCAGGCTGGAACCCTTCCTGGTTGGTTGGCATTGGTTGTTTTTTAATATGGTACGATGATGTTTAACTGTAATACCAGTAATAAAACCAAAATCACCTCCTGTTTTGCTGACAGCTTGATTTTATATGAAAATCAGAATTTACTGCTAATCAAGGGATTATAATAACTGAGCTGCAACGTTAATGAACGACATGAATTTAGTCCATCTGAGACAGAGGCTTCTGTGAGAGGCACTGTTTGGTCCACTTCTGACCTGTAATCACTGCTGACTTTAACGGCAGCAGCAGTGGTCCCTTGGTCTTCCTTCACCAAACATGTAGGCAGTGCAGGTAGAGCTTACTTGGGTACTCACAAAAAGTTAGAGTGAAAACATTAGAAGAAAAGAGCATTTAACAGGAAATGTGGCATTAGCTTTCCAGTGAATAAGCACTGCTTACTTAATGATCGAATTGCTAGCAAACCACTGTGTTGTGGTGATTGAACAGGTCACAGAAAGCTGATAGAGCCCATGACAGCCATTCTTTTGTGGTGTTGAGGTAACTCAGGGGCATGATGTTGAAACCAGCACCTTTACTGGGTAAAGGAAAGAAACATAGGGATGAAAGATGTGGGCAACATTTTGAAGTGGTTTTGGGGGAAAGGGTGGGACATAGTGAAACAGGCCCATCTCTTTCAAAGAGGTACATCCCTTTGTGGCCAGATGTAAGCAAAATCAGTGCTTTCTTTTGGAGTCAGCAGAACATGTTCAGGTGCAGAACTGTTTAGTTGCACTCCTACTGACCGGCATGCAAGTACAAATCAAGTACTTAAAAGGTATGGCGCTTCCCGTGAGTTTGTGCCCAAGGTGCACTTCTGAGTGCAAAAATGTTGCTGGTGAGGGAGAGCCAGACCTCAGATAAGGAGAGCACATATTCCTGTGAACATGGTAGCAATAATAACTTTTCTGATCCCATTGTAACGTCCATGCCTATTTTTATTCACTTTGGCTTCTAGTTTGTGCAGTGAAAATATTGCACTTGGCAAGTCAGATGTATCAGGCCACATTCTAATCAAATAGCTGATTTTTCTAAGGGAGGCTAGATAGAGAAAAGGAAATGAGTAACTTTCAGATACTTACAATAAGGTTGTGGTGACCCACATTTAAGAATAATCCCTGCACACGCTAATCTTTCCGTGAGGTT